GGTGGGGAGTGGGGAGCTGGGGAGAGATAGCAAGGGGAGAGATGCCAGATGTAGGTGATGGGGAGGAAGGCAGCAAATCACACTGCCATGTGTGTACCTATGCAACAATCTTGCATGTTCTTCACATGTACCCCAAAACCTAAAATGCAATAAAATAAATAAATGGGGAAAAATAGTAGTTGCATGTTGAAACATCCATTAAAAAAAAAAAAGAAGTTTTGGGGCTAAGACTATGGGGTTTTCTAAATATACAATCATGCATCTGCAAACAGAGACAATTTGATTTCTTCTCTTCCTGTTTGAATAAACTTTATCTTTCTCTTGCCTGATTTCCCTGGCCAGAACTTCCAATACCATGTTGAATAGGAATGACTTGAGAGAGTATCTTTGTCTTGTGCCAGTTTTGAAAGGGAATGCTTCCAACTTTTGCCCATTGAGTATGATATTGACTGTCAGTTTGTCATAAATTATTTTGGGATATGTTCCATCAATACCTAGTTTCTGGAGAGTTTTTAGCATGAAGTGGTGTTGAATTTTATGGAAGGCCTTTTCTGCATCTATTGAGATAATTATGTGGTTTTCGTTATTGGTTCTGTTTATGTAATAGATTACATATATTGATTTGTGTTGAACCAGTCTTGCGTCCCAGGGATGAAGCCAACTTGATCAGGGTGGACAAGCTTTTTGATGTGCTGCTGGATTCAGTTTGCCAGTATTTTACTGGGGATTTTCACATTGATATTCATCAGGGATATTGGCCTGAAACTTTTGTTGTTGTTGTTGTGTCTCTGCCAGGTTTTGGAATCAAGATGATGCTGGCATCATAAAATGAGTTAGGGAAGGGTCCTTCTTTTTCTATTGTTTGAAATAGTTTCAGAAAGAATGGTACCAGCTCCTCTTTGTACCTCTGGTAGAATTTGGCTGTGAATCTGTCTGCTTCTGGGCTTTTATTGGTTGGTAAGCTATTAATTACTGCCTCAATTTCAAAACTTGTTATTGGTCTATTCAGGGATTTTCTAGTTTATTTGCATAGAGGTGTCTGTAATATTCTCTGTTGGTATTTTGTATTTCTGTGGGATCAGTGGTGATGTCCACTTTATCATTTTTTATTGTGTCTATTTGATTCTTCTCTCTTTTCATCTTTATTAGTCTAGCTAGCAGTCAATTTATTTTATTAATTTTTTTCAAAAAAAATCCCTGGATTCACTGATTTTTTGAAGAGATTTTTGTGTCTCTATCTCCTTCAGTTTCACAATGACACCCATTATTTATTTCTTGTCTTCTGCTAGCACGATCACCCCAGGTCAACTTCAGACAGCTGTGCTGGCAGCAGGAATTTCAAGCCAATGGTTCTTAGCTTGCTGGGCTCCACTGGGAGTGGGACCTGCTGAGCGAGATCACTTGGCTCCCTGGCTTCAGCCCCCTTTCCAGGGGAGTGAATGGTTCTGTATTGCTGGGGTTCCAGGTGCCACCAGGGTATTAAAAAAAAATTCCTGCAGCTAGCTCCGTGTCTGCCCGAGCAGCCACCCAGTTTTGTGCTTGCAACCCAGGCACCTTGGTGGTATAGGCACATATCCTGGTCTGCGGATTGCAAAAACTGTGGGAAAAGCATAGTATTTGGGCTGAATAGCACAGTCCCTCATGGCTTCCCTTGGCTGAGAAAGGGAGGCTCCCCGCTCCTTGCATTTCCTGGGTGAGACAATGCCACACCTTGCTTCTGCTCACCCTCCGTGGGCTGAACCTACTGCCTAACCAGTCTCAATGAGATGAAGAATGTATCTCAGTTGGAAATGCAGAAATCACCTGCCTTCTGCATTGGTCTCACTGGGAGCTGCAGACTGGAGCTGCTCCTATTCAGCCATCTTGCCAGATCACTCCACCAAGAATATTTTTAAAACAAAGTAAATACCACCATACTCCGGGGGAATTAAAAAAAAAAACACATCTGCTCTCTGCCAAGAAGCAGCAGCATGGGGTTCATAAATAGTTGGATTACTAGTAAAGATTCTGGCCAGTTGGAAGTTGGCTTTAAAAACAATGGGCCCAGAAACTTTGGGAGAACAGAACTTTGTCTCCGATAGCCTTCTAAGAGTTTGGATTACCATTAATTATTCTCCTAAAGGGATAAGAAATTTTTGTAGGAACAGTGTGGAGATCAAAATGGCCTATGATCACCAGAATGTTATGTATCCAGCCCCTATGCCCCTTGTGCTGTGCTTGTCTATGTGTGTTATAAAGACTCAAGTCCTACAGAGTCAGGAATTATCCTTCCCTTTAAAATCTTCCTTCTTTGACAAAGCTCCATGCATTCCAGAGCTCTCAGCCATGACTGCAGGAAATCCAATTCTTTCCCAAAGTATTCCAGAAGGCACCGAAGGTAGCTTAATTTTCAACCAACGTGGTGCCTGTCTGGTCTGCTTGTTTCCTATGGATCACCTTAGTCCTGAGCCTCTTCTTTCCATAGCTGCAAGCTTTTGTGTACCACAAACCATGCTCCTTTTATTCCCCAAGAACAGCTAGTCCCAAGAACAGCTAGTCACAAAGCTTGAAGATAACAAAAGGGGAATATAAGACATAACTTAAAACTGCAAACTAGAGAGCAGCTTCTTTCTACTCCTGGTATCACCCAACCCTCCCTTCTGGTTTTCCCCCTCCTTCTTCTGCTCTGCTTCCCCCATGGTGGGGTCCTTTCCCCTTTTTTCAGTTGGCATCTCTGGATGACATGTTCTCCACTCCTAGCTAGCAAAACCAGATTCCTTTATGGCTGTAAAAATCTCTGCAGAGGTGTTTATTTCCTGAACTCATCCTTTCTATCATTAAGCAAAGTAACTGTATTGTGTGCAGCCCCTGATAGCTCATGTGTCACTGTTGCCAGGCCTCCCTACCATTGAGGACCGCAGCACTTTCAAGTTCTCCAACTCTCCATGTGTCATGCCCAAGTGAACAATACCACCACTGCCCCACTCACCCACCCATTCCCAAAAAGTGAAAGATATGCACACAAACAGGTGACTAGTGTTGAAGTAATCTCAGAAACATTTGCATTCAGACTACTTTCCCTTAGAACTTTCTCCTCCCCACCCCATCAAGAGTGGGCATGTGCTTTACTATATCAACAAGACTAACAAGGCTCACCTGAGTGGTCCCACTCAAAGAAGAGATTTCAGTTTCTACATTAAAATGCAGAAACTACTACAGGTTAAAAGAGAAACACACACAATTTAAGAAACTCTCCCCTCCTCCTCTTCAAAACGTGGGGTATGCATTCCAGAGCTCTCAGCCTGATGGACAGCTTGGAAGCAGAAGGAACTATTGTCCAGCAAGTGGCCTTTGCCCCATGTCCATTGTGCCTTGCGTATTCCCATCCAACTCAGAACTCCTCACAGCCAGCCCCAGGACTACTGCTCACGGGCTCAGGCAAAGGTGGGAGTAGCCAGGGTTTGACGCTTGGGAGACACTCAAAAATATCTGTTGGACAAACAAGTGAAGATGAGCCCTGAAACTTTCTAGACGGTCTCTGTCCCATTGGGTTCAAACCAGTAAAAAGCCAGAGAAGGGTCTTTCTGTCCCAAACATAAGCAAGAGATGGATGAGTGCTTTGTGCAGAAGTTACTAAACACTCATAGGTGTGAAGGAGTTTTTTGTTAATCAAACAACATCCAGTTTGTTTAATAAAAGATTAATATGGTCCATGAGTTCAATGTCATCTTCAGATTAAACCATTCACTAAAACATGGATGGGTTGGTTTGCAGCTACAAGGAATAAATACACTTTATAAAATATGAATTCCTGGTACTAAGGTTCTGCTTCAAAGGAAGGCTCAACCTAGACCGCATAATGAATAGAAACTGAAGGAAGAGATATTGGGAACTCAACTGATTTTCAGGCAAAGGAGTGTGAGAGGAAATGGGGAAGAAGAACTAGGGATATCAGCTTCATTCTGGTCATGATTCACAGAAATAAGTGCAGAGGGAAGACAAATCAGATGCCCAGACTGCAGTGTTAGGAGACAGGAGGCTGTCACGTTTAGATTGCTGACAAAAGGATGGAGGGTAAAAAAATTGAAGAGTTTCAGTGAGGGTCTATTTTCTCCAAGTAGGAGAAAAGCTCATGGGAAATCCCAATGGACCTTATCTGAAACACTTTGAGGGTTCCATCTTGCTCTCTTCCACATTCTTCATATTTTCTAGGTATTTCTGGAGGCATAACAGAACCCTTCTCTAGCTTTTTTGGGTGGCTTCAGCTCCCAGTTGTCACTACAGTCCCCAGCCATAATTTCAGATCTTCCATCCTTCAAAACAAAAAAATAATTCCTTTCTCTCCCTCACTCACACAGTAGAGTTCAACTGGTTAAACTTATCAAATTATTTTAAATATTCACCTAAAATCAGTGAGACTAGAAACTTCACATTTTAGGGTAATGATGAGGTAGAAAAGCAAGCTAAATTGTCTTATCAATGATACTTTTGATAGAAGATTTTTAAACAATAAGGAACAAAGTTGATGTGTGATTTTAAAAAGAAAGTATTTCCTGGGATATGTGTTCCTGGATTAAGGTACAGTGGGCCCTGAATAGCGAATCACAGTTTTTCCTAAGGCCCTCGTCCCCTGAGCTACACTGTGGGTCGAAAAGGGCAGGATTATGATAAATAGAAAGAAACTAGAGGCATTTTAGTTTAATAAAAAGAACTTCTGGAAAAAGACTTCTTCGTTACTGGAAACATTCAAGCAGAGGTTTCTGGGATGTTTCTGATGGCATTCAAGCATCAGAGACCAAGGTCAGCCTAAGAAACAACCAAGGCCCCTTCCTACAAAAAGAGTAAAATTAGATCCATATACGAAATGCCTAGTGCAGTACCTGGCGCATAAGAGATACACAGATACCAGGTCCTTCCCATCCCGAGAGTCTGCAGGTCTATGATCTTATATATTGGATGTATTTCTGGGTAATTGGATACATTCTGGATTCTTCCAGAAGTTCACAATTTTCATAATCGGAGCCATTGAGAGCAGGCAAGGCAAGGAGGCACGTTCTTTTTGCTTGTGTCGGTAGCTCTTGCTCTAGCCGGAATTTTCATCGCCTTCAGGCAGTTATTGGTTTGGGCTTTATGCTGCCCACCACAGCTGAGATAACTGCTCCCGCAGCCTTCGCTCCTTCCATCAGGGCGTGCTCTACCTGCAAAGTGCGTCAGTTCACAGGACAATCAGCACCAATCCTAGGCTGGCACCCTCCCCCACCTCCTCCCCACCATTCAGCAACCAGACTGCCTGGAGTCTATTCCTATGAGAAGAACAGTCCGGGCTATCCTACATTTTCAAAACTCCTAGAGTGACAAGAGACCAAGAAAAGCCAGGATTGTTGGAGACAGACAACCTCTTCCTCCCTGTGTGCCATTTGGCCCAGCGTCTGCCTCCCGTGTGGGGCTCAGAGGCAAAGGATCTCACAGTGCCATAGCCACTGAGGCCCTCATTCCACAAACAGGGGATCCCAGAGCCAGGGAGCAGAACTCACTTGGACAGAGCCATACAGTGAATTCCTGTCCAAACTTAGCTCTTAGGTTCTTGGGCCTCATGAGTCCTGGACCCAGGCTTCTTCAGAGGGCTTCTTGTAATGCCCTCAGTCCTTGGGGTTTTCATGTACAAATGCTCATTGGGGTGGGAGATTTCTCACATCAGGGCCCACTGAGCCCCTGACACTAGAGCAAAGCCTCACAAGAATAGAGTGCAGGCCAGGCGTGGTGGCTCACACCTGTAATCCCAGCACTTTGGGAGGCCGAGGCAGGCGAATCACGAGGTCAGGAGTTTGAGACCAGCATGGCCAACACGGTGAAACCCCATCTCTACTAAAAATACAAAAAAAAAATTAGCCAAGCATGGTGACATGCACATGTAGTCCCAGCTATTCCGGAGGCTAAGGCAGGAAAATCGCCTGAACCCAGGAGGCGGAGGTTGCAGCAGTGAGCTGAGATGGCGCCACTGCACTCCAGCCTGGGTGACAGAGTGAGACTGTCACAAAAAGAAAAAAAAAAAAAGAATGGACTGCAGGCTGGAGAGGACGCAGACCACAGAGGAGGAAGGTGCAGAAGTGAAGGACACAGCAGGGAGGCTGCTCATGCCCACAGAGGCTGGGCTGGCAACAGCAGAGGCCAACACTGGAATGTGAGCCCACTCTGCTTAGACAACAGAAGAAACGTAGGGAAAAAAATAGAACAATTATGTTCCTCTTTTAATCCTTAATGTTTTTCATCTCTTTAAAGGGGGTAATAAATACTTTCCCTGCTCATCTCATGGGGTTTTAGTAAGGATCACCCATTAACGTGAACAGCCCAAATGTGTACGAATATTCAGGATTCAAAGTTCTTCCACATGCCCTGTACCACATGTAATTTATTACTGCTCTATGTGGCAGGAAGTGACAGAGCCAAATGCAGTACAGGCCAGGGAGGAGATGGGAGTGAGGCAGGTGGGTGACACGCCTGCTTGGCCCGTATGCCCTGCAAAGCCACAGCATGTCCCTACAGTGTCAGCGGGTAAGAACGATGGCCCAGTGGCCTCATCAATTGTCAGTCAAAGAGAAGCTGAGGACCGGGTGTGGTGGCACACACCTGTAATCTAGCACTTTGGGAGGCCGAGGCGGATGGATCACCTGAGGTCAGGCGTTCAAGACCAGCCTGGCCAACATGGCGAAACCCCATCTCTACTAAAAAATACAAAAATTAGCCAGGTGTGATGGCACACACTTGTCATCCCAGCTACTTGGGAGACTGAGGCAGGAGAATCGCTTGAACCCAGGAGGGGGAGTTTGCAGCAAGCCAAGATCACGCCACTGTACTCCAGCCTGGATGACAGAGCAAGACTCTGTCTCAAAAAGAGAGAGAGAGAGAGAGAGAGAGAGAGAGAGAGAGAGATAAAGAAAAGCTGAGAAGCTACAGCTTTCTACATAAAATTTCTATATTTTTAAATACTGGCAAGTAATTAAAACAAAAAATGTGTGTGTGGGTGTGTATCCAAGGTATAGCCCACAGGGTACCTGTTCAAATCTTTGGCAACATAGTATCTGCTTCTGCTTATCCCTGCTTTGTTAAGGAAGAAATGGTCTTTGGCCAGGCACAGTGGCTCACACCTGAAATCCCAGCACTTTTGGAGGCTGAAATGGGAGGATCACTTGAGCCCAGGAGTTCAAGATCAGCCTGGGCAACATAGCAAAACCATCTCTCTACAAAAATATTTTTAAATCAGTTGGGTGTGGTGATGCATGCCCGAAGTCCCAGCTATTCGGGAGGCTGAGGCAGGAGGATTGCTTGAGCCCAGGAGGTTGTGGCTGCTGATTATGCCACTACACTTCAGCCTAGGTGACGGAGTGAGACCCTGTCTTCAAAGAAAGAGAAAAAAACAGAAAGAAAGAAAAGCTTTCAGAAATACAGTGAATTGACCAAGGAGACTTCTCTAGTTAACAGTTGAGCTGGGGCTCCAACCAGTGGTCTTACTATTAGCCCAGTGCCTTTTCTACTCCTCCCTGGGTTAATAAAGGTGAAAATACCTCCTGAACCATAAAGTCCTGCAGAAATAGAAAGCCTTACTAGTATAACGAATAACATGATGAAGGCACTGATTACCATTCTGATCACTAATGAAATAACAAACCCCCAGAAAGCTCCGGAAGAAGCCATCATCAGAGCAAATGGGATCACACCTGCTGGCTCCGGGGTACGCCGTATCTGAGGCCGTTGACAAAGTGCTCGCAGTTCCCTTCGATCAGGCTGTACTGCACGATCTTGTTGACCATCTTTTTTGTACGCTGCATGATCTCGTCCACCGGCAGGGGCAGGTACGTCCCATCGAGCTTGTTATTGACCTTCCAGGAGCAGCCATGCAGCACATCCTCCAGACGACTGTACTTCACCACGGCCCGATTGCTAAAGATGGAAGTAATGCTGCCCACCTCGAACTCCTCACCTGGAGACCAAAGACAAAAACTGGGAAGTTCAAGGAGTATCCGAGCAGAGCAGAGCACAGTCTAAGGCTCTGAGGAAGCTGCTTCCCCTGGGGTCTCGTTGGCACCATCAATAAAAGGGTGGCAGGAGAGGGGGAGCTGGAGCCAAAGAACTGCAGAGAATCAACTTTCCTCCGAAGCCCTTTGCCCTGTGCTGTGCTTCCTGCCCTCAACCTCCATGGGAGTCTCTCTCATTAAACTCTTGGAGAACCTTACCGTGTGGCCCCAAACTGTGTTGCACGCACCTGCCTAAGTCCTAGGATTTGAGTCTTGCTTCCTAAGCAGAGTTCAGTAATCTTCACAAACATGTAAAGAGTACCCTCTATGTAAGTGTCAGCTCCTGGGTAAAGGGTGATCACGTACACGATTACGGTGTTTCCACGACACGCTCCCTCTGGGGCTGCCACAGGAGCACAGGGGAACGGAGTCAAGTAGGGCTCTGAATGGCACCTACTCCCCCCAGCTTCCACCTACAGCCACTTGACTGCTGCCTCCACTCAAATACGGGGATTCTCATCAAGGGTATGTTTAAAAACAGGATTCCACAGCTTTGAGAAATGTTCGAAAGCTGCTTCATTATCATATTCAGCCCTTAGAGGAGACACAGACTCAAAGAGGATCAGAAACCTGCCCAAGGTCAGGTGGGCGGTCATTTAAAGCCAGCACTGTTTTTCTGCTACAACCACGTGGATATGCAGATGTGTACACCCTCCCCTTTACAAGTTGTCCAAGGACAAGAAATGTTCCATGATCTTTTCTTACAAATTTGAAGAAAATCTGCTGGTTTCATAAAACCTGGCAGTAAATAATTCAGCATTCAGGAGCAGAAATGGCAGAATTCCTTTTCAGAGAGAGCCACATAGGGGCGGGGGAAGACGTAACTGATAAGTATCTCTGCGGTTGTACAACAGGGAAACTCCTGGACTTGGTCTGGAAAGAAGCAATGGATTCCTATGTTCTCTGAGTAGGTTCTGAGACAAGAATTGGGAAGGGTACGAGTAGAGGGGGCAGAGAAGAGAAGCGATGAGAAGGGACTCTCTTCCCTGAGGACCTCCAGCGTGGTGAGAGACTGGGCCAAAGGAAGGGGACAGAACACAGGGGTGACAGCTGAGAACAAGTTGGGGCCAAAGGCCTTTGGGGCCTTTGCCCTTCTGTAATTCAGCTTTGAACTGGCAATGCCTACATGGGAGATAGCATTCAAAGGGCATTCATGGGTATTCAACAGGGTCCCCCTACCCCTTCCTCTGCCAACCCCCCAAGCCTCACCAGGCCCCATCTCCCGAGACAACCATTGTGACCAGTGGTTCTAGATACCCAATTTTAAGTTGTTCCTCATTCTGCTGTCATCTTCCTCTACTATCATCACCTCCACCCCATCCAATCTCCACTAAGATTTCACTAACACAAATTTGATCTCAGCCATATGTTAAGACAGCTGTGAGAAATGAGAAGAGGGCTGTATCTACATTTAGAGTGAGACAGCACGGAGCGTGTGGAACAGCAGGGAGACAAGGTGAGGACGAAGGTGCCAAAGGTGATCAAGAAGCCACAGGCAGGGTTCAAGGACTATAGAAAACAAATGGCAATCAGAACAGGTAAGCGTCTGTGTTCTCCTTGGGGAATCCTCAGAAAGATGAGGATGGATGCTTAACTGCTGTCAATACAAAACGGGGCTCAAGTTCTAAAATGTGTGTTTTTAAACAAAGGCCCCTCTAGGAGGTCAGGGAACTTGGGCCACACTCTTCACACTTGTGTCACTCTTCGGGCTGGACACTCAGTGGGTTTTGGAGAACAGAGACCAAACTGTATCACGCAGTAAACAAAGGTCCAGTCATGCTTCAAGGGGTCCCATTGCTAAAGAATGGCAATGACTGAGGAGCCCAGTAATTAACTGTGCTTCCATTTACTTGGCTAACTTCAATATCAGTATTTCAATAGAGTATTCACTCTTACTCGGGGGAGCCAGATGGACCACGCAGTCATCTTCTACGTAGATGGCCCAGTGCTCATAGCCAATTCGAAAAATCTCAATCAGGTCTCCAGGTCTGGGTCTTGGTTTTCCCTACAATGGAAAGGTAAAAGATCAATGGCACATGCCGGAGGAACTCCAGACACCTTGTTTTAGTATCAGGTACAGCTCAGCCTAAAGATCCCCTCAGTGTGGTTCATCACTTCGCAGAAACCCAAGCTAAAGAAACACCTCTTCACACCGAGGACCGAAGCACTCCCCCTCTCTCCTACCACCAGTCACATTACTGAGGCCATCAAGGATACCTGTGCCGGTTATTAGTGTGCTGCCTCTCGGCTCTGAATGTACCCTCCAATATATACCCTGTGATAAATGACTAAACTGTAAGCATTTCTTCCCCAAAACAAATAAGATGTTAAACCTTCTCAGTAGAGGGTGCCGGAAGGACGTTGCAAGAGAAAGGGACTCTCCTGAAGTTTCCGGTGAGGGAGGACAGGATGGTGGTCAGCAGTGTGGGTGTGTGGACATCTAGTAGAGTTCTGCCTCAGACCCAGGATCCTCAAGAACCCCTGCCCCTGCTGGCAGCCTGATTCCCTCAGCAAGTCCCCCACATGGCCCACCTGAAGCCCAGAGGATACCCCCATGCTCTGCACACCCACACCACCAGTTGCTAACAGCCACAAATGTGTGTCCACATTTGTATGTGCATGTCTGTGTGCACATCTGTGAGTGTGTGTGTGTGTGTGTGTGTGTGTGTGACAGAGAGAGAAGGAGAATATAAATGAAAGGTAGGCGCAGAGCTGTAAATATGATGAGCATCCATCTTTTTAAAAACTATTTGGCCAGAGCTCCAGGTCTCACCTTCACTGCTGTGTTCTCTTCTCCTAGACGCCCAGCTTCCGTGGCCCTGTGACCTGCAGGTTTCTGGGAATCCATAGCTAAGATGCCAGGACCCCCTGGAAGCCTAGAAATGGTATTGCTGTCTCTAAGCCAGACCTGATCACCTATCTGGAGCAAAGAAAAGAGCCCTGGAATATGAAGAGGCACAAGATGGTAGTGAAACACCCTGTTACGTGCTCTCATTCCACCCAGGATCTTTGGCCAGAACAGGGTATAAAAGATTCATTCCCAAAAATGATATTAAAAAGATACAGAAAATGTGAACATGAGAATTTACCATTAAGGAAAGACTGTAAAAGTGTGAGGGGTGAGTATAAAGTACGCAAAGGAGGTCATAATGGACTTAATGTCATTAACTTGTCAACTACTCAGAGCAAAGTATTTTAATGTAATTCATGTGTGAAAGTCTTTAGTACATTTTCAAATTCAAATACACGTAAGACATGACATACTGGAGAAAAATCTATCAAATGTAAAGAATGTGGCAAATGGGCCAGGTGTGGTGGCTCGCGCCTATAATCCTAGAACTTTGGGAAGCCTAGGTGGGTGGATCACCTGATGTCACGAGTTTGAGAGCAGCATGACCAGCATGGTGAAACCCAATTCTTTACTAAAAATACAAAAAATTCAGCCAGGCTCGGTGGCGCACACCTGTAGTTCCAGCTTCTTGGGAGGCTGAGGCAGGAGAATCGCTTGAACCCAGAAGGCAGAGGTTGCAGTGAGCCGAGATTGCACCATTGCGCTCCAGCCTGGGCAACAGAGCAAGACTCCATCTCAAACAAACAATGTGGCAAATTATTTCACATGCTTTCACACCTAACTCAACGTCAGAGAAGTCATAGGAGACAGAATTCTTACAGATGTGAAAAATGTAGCAAAGCCTTTAACCTGTCCTCAGCCCTTATTAACATAATTCACACTGGAGAGAATCCCTACCAATGTGAAGAATGTGGCAAAACCTTCAACCAGTTGTTAACCCTTCTTACACATAAGTTAGTTCATACTGGAGAGAAACCCTACAAGTGTGAAGAATGCGGCAAAGCCTTTAACCACTAGTCAACTCTTATTAAACATGAGAGAATTCATACTAGAGAGAAACCCTACAACTGCAAAGAATGTGGCAAGGCCTTTAACTGATCCTCAAACCTTAATGAACATAAGAATTCATACTAGAGAGAAACCCTACAAATGTGAAGGATGTGACAAAGGCTTTTAAGTGCATCTCAAGCCTCACTAAACATAAGATAATTCAGACTGGAGAAAAATCCTACCAATGCAAAGAATGAGGTAAAGCTTTTAACCAGTCTTCAACCCTTATAAGAGATTCATACTGGAGAGAAACCTATGCTTGAATATGCCAAAGCATTTAAAAGGTCCTCAAACATAAGATAATTCATACTGAAGAAACCCTACAAAATTGAAAAATGTGAAAAAGCTTTTAACCACACCTCATACTTTTCTGAAGATTCTAAAGATAAAAGAAATTATAGTGGTGAGAAACCCTAGAGAAGTGAAGAATGTGGCAAAGCCTTTAAATGGTTGTCACACCTTACTGTATGTAAGATCATTCATACTAGAGAAAACCCCTATACTTATAAATAATGTGGCAAAACATTTACTTAATGTTCACACTTCATTGCATAGGAAAGCATTTGTACTTTAGAAAAATTGTACAAATATAAAGAATGTGGAAAAGCCATTGCTATCTGCTCAAATCTTACTCAAAATCAGAGTTCATACTTAAAGCATTATAAATCTAATCACTGTAAAAAAAAAAAAAACTTTCAGAAAATATAAGCCTTTAAAGTGAATAAGAGTATTTATTCTGAAGAAAAACATTGCAACTATAAAGGAGATTGTAGTGTCATTACTTGTATTACAAACCTTATTGCACACATTTTATACTAGAGGAAAACACCAAAGCAGCTGCTCAAACCTTGTTGAACATCAGAGAATTTATGTTGGAAAGAAACCCTACAAATGTAATGAATGTGGAAACACATTTGTTTAAAAACTCCAGCTTGGGCCAGGCACAGTGGCTCATGCATGTAATTCCAGCACTTTGGAAAGCCACGGCAGGCAAATCATTTTGAGATCAGTTGTTCTAGAGCAGCCTGGCCAACATGGTGAAACCCCATCTCTACTAAAAATTCAAAAAAATTGGCCAGATGTGGTGGCAGGCACCTGTAATCCCAGCTACTGGGAGGCTGAGGCAGGAGAATCGCTTGAACCCAGGAGGTGGATGTTGCAGTGAGCCGAGATCGTGCCACTGCACTCCAGCCTGGGTGACTGAGTGAGACTCCATCTAAAAAAAAAAAAACTCCAACTTGGACAACACCAGAGAGTTCATACTAAAAGAACTCACATTTGCAGATGCAGCAAGTGTGAAAAAATATTCAATCAAACATTGTCTAATAAACATGAGGGGATTCACAGTAAGAACTAAGGTACTGACACTTCGTATATTACACTAAATCAGAGTGTTGAGTACAGAAAATAATTCAAAGCGAAAACTGTCAGATAATTTATTTGTATATAACTTTAAAAGAAATGCAAGACTTTTTTGAAGAGTTATTATTACAAAGTATTGGTTTTTCCTTGAAAAAATTATAGTTTTTTGAAAGCAAATGTAATTTAACTCTCAAGTTACTTCATGCTCTTCCTTCATTCCTATTGTTTATGTGAAAGCATGTGATCCATTATTGTTGCATCAGATCTATAAGGGATTCTTTTCTATTAGGTGGGCATTATTTATGACCTTTTCCATGGAAAAGTACAGGCATTGAAATGTAATGGTGAAACCCTATCTCTACTAAAAATACAAAAAAATTAGGCAGGCATGGTGGTGCATGCCTGTAGTCCCAGCTACTCAGGAGGCTGAGGCAGGAGAATTGCTTGAACTAAGCAGGCAGAGGTTGCAGTGAGCCAAGATTGCACCATTGCACTCCAGCCTGGGTGGTAGTGTGAGTCTCCGTCTCAAAAACAAAACAAAACAAAAAGGTACACAATGAAAATCTAAGTGGAGAAGCTCTTTGTGGTTGACCTATAACTTTGAGTGAAGCAAGAGGTAGGTGTTCAGAGTAATATTCTTCTACATGATAGTGAAAGGAAAACATTTATAATTTTAGTAGTAAATCATCTTACCAATTGTATTTTTATGTAATAAAATGCAGTATATTTTAAAATTCTGCCTTAAGATTACAGGTGAACTTAATTTTTTAAACAAAACTGTTTTTAAAACTATTAATAGGCCGGG